CAAAATTTAGATATTTTTGCATGGTCCGCGGCAGAGATGCCCGGTATAGACCCCGACCTTATAACTCATAAGCTGAATACTGACCCTATAGTTAGGCCCATTAGACAGAAGAAACGCAACCTAGCCCCAGAACGCTGGAGGGCGGTCGATGAGGAGGTCGAAAAGCTCCTCACAGCAGACTTCATAAGGGAAGTTCATTACCCGAGCTGGGTGGCCAACCCTGTTCTAGTAAAAAAGGCAAACGGCAAGTGGTGCATGTGCGTCGACTACACCGACCTGAACCAAGCTTGCCCGAAAGATTGCTTCCCCCTCCTCAGGATCGACCGCCTAGTGGACGCGACCTCGGGACACGAGTTGCTAAGCTTCATGGATGCCTACTCGGGCTACAACCAAATCAGGATGGACCCGACTGACGAGGAAAAAACCGCCTTCATAACCGAGTTCGGCCGATACTACTACAAGGTTATGCCCTTCAGACTGAAAAATGCTGAGGCAACCTTTCAAAGGCTTGTGAATAAGTTGTTTCAACCCTTAATTGGTACAAAGATAGAATGTTATGTAGACGACATGGTCGTCAAGACACAATTTTCGCATGAATTAATACAAGATTTGCATTCTGTCTTTCAAATCTTGCGTCAATTTAGCATGAAACTAAACCCAAACAAGTGTGTCTTCGGTGTCACCTTGGGTAAGTTCCTAGGGTACATCATCAACCGGTGCGGTATTGAGGCCAACCCGGACAAAATAAAGGCCATCCTAGATATGAGACCACCCTGAAAAGTAAAAGAGGTTCAGAGGTTAAATGGCAGAATAGCCGCTCTGAGTAGTTTCATGTCCAAATCGGCAGACCGCTGCCTGCCCTTCTTCAAGGCAATGAAAAGCAAAGGGTTCGAGTGGAACCCAAGATGCCAGCTCACGTTTGACGAGCTCAAAAGATACCTTGCAAGTATCCCGGTTTTGACCCGACCCGAAGAGGGCGATGATTTAGAACTGTACCTTTCGGCAAGTGACGAAGTGGTCAGTTTGGTACTGATAAAAAAAGTAGATCGGGTCCAACGACCCATCTATTATGTTAGTAAAGTATTGCAGGGAGAAAAGACGAGATATCCAGAGATAGAAAAGCTAGCCTATGCGCTGGTCATTACGGCCCGTAAACTCCGTCCATACTTCCAAGCCCATACCATTATCGTCCTCATCGACAAACCCTTGAGGCAAGTGTTGCTCAGGCCCGAGGTCACTGGTCAATTGACGAAGTGGGCCATCGAACTCAGTGAGTACGACCTCCAATACAAAAGCCACGAACTGCTATCAAAGCCCAAGCCTTGGCGGATTTCGTTGCAGAATGCACATTCAGCTCTAAGGTCCTTAGCCCGGTTGAACACGAGGCTCCCAGTTCAGGTGAACTCGGTGCTCCCAAGCCGGTTGAGTCCGAGCACCGTAAGGTCGCATCCAGTTCAGTATCTCTCCTGGTTAGGCCAAGCGCGAACTGGGATGAAGAGCCCGGGATCCTTCACGTAGATGGCTCCTCAAATCAGTAGGGCAGCGGAGACGGTGTAGTTCTCCGCGGCCCGAACGGCACGAAACTGAAGTACGCACTACGCTTCGAGTTCGCGGCATCCAATAATGAGGTGGAGTACGAGGCGTTGATAGCCGGGCTAGCCCTAGCGCAAGAGGTAAAAGCGAAACACATAGTTATCTGCAGCGATTCCCAGCTTGTGGTCAACCAAGTGACAGGCGAATACGAAGCCCGCGAACCAACTATGATCGCCTACTTAGCAAAAGTAAAAGAGGCTCTGCTTAACTTCCAGTCACACTTCATCAAGCAAATCCCGAGGTCAGAGAACGCTGAGGCCGATGCCTTGTCCCGGTTAGCCAGCACCAGTGACAACACCATGAGAACCGTGTACATAGAGGACTTACCTCGGCCTAGCATTCTCGG